GCTCTGGATGCTTTAAAAGTGAACACAGCTTTCTTTGACTGGCTACTGGTTTCAGGCTTGGACTCTTGGTTCCAAATCAAAAACTCATATTGATTTCATTCAGGAAGAAGTTACTGAGTCTTCACTGTTGATAAACTGGCAAATATTTTGGAAGATATACATGTTATATAAAGATGTACAACTAGAATATAAAGCAAAGTGAGGCACCAAACACCCCACCATGCCCAAAATCTGACAGAAATCCCTTCAACATTCTAATTCAAGCCTGAGATTCCATAGAATTTTACAGACATTCACATTGTACATAAAATTTTGCTCACATACCAGATATAAGGGAGCACTGGTAGCCAGTGCCTAAGGCACTTGACTACTAACCAGAAGGCTGGCAGTTCAAACCCACCAGCCACTCCTCGGAAGGAAGATGGGACAATCTACTTCCGTAGTGATACTGCCTCGGAAACCCAAGGAGGGGTTGCTATGAGTCGGGTCTGACTCGATGGCACATAACAACAACAACAACAACAACCAGATATTAAGATAAATTTCAAAGATTCATTAGTTACATATTCACTCCATCCCTCTCCAAACCCTCCCTCCACATAATGGACTTCCTTTCTTATTCTCTTTCATATTATTTTACATGTGTAAATATACACAAAGAGTATATTTTCTAAAGTACTCACTCATTCCCTAGCCTATTTAATCTATGCTCAAGAATCTCACCAAAATCATATACAGTCCATGGATATGAACAAGTTCTGTTTCTAAGTATGTCTTTAAGTAGAATGTACATGTAATTCAGTATAGTTAAGCATGTATCTGATGCCAGGTAGTCAAGCATTTGCTTAGTATATAGCATATAGCAAATAGCATACCAATCTATGCATAAAAAATATTAAAGGAACATTTCCAGGTACTAAAACATCTTTAACCTAATAATGTGACCATAATAATATTTTGACATGTGTCATAAAGTAGCATCCATTTGTTAGTATGTACGAACCATTGCATGTACCTCAAATTTTTTAATATAACAGGCTTTACAGGGGTTAATTTATAACCAGGGGTCATAAGTCAGTAACAACCTATAATTCAATGCTGATAGTGGTCAAAGACACAAGCACCAAAAATTATTGAAATTATTATTATTATTTTTTAAAATAATTAGTCCTAAACATTCACACATAAACATAAAATGGCTCTTGAGACATGGTTACATTCTTCAGCAGTTTATTTCTGAGGAGTCATTCAATACTTTAAGATATATGCGGTGGCTCAGATAAAGAATAAAATCAGTCCTTCTGGCAAATCAATTCCTTTTCAGATACCTAAAAACCCACATTTTGATTTTAGTTTGGCTGAACATTTGCTGCATACCTGCTATTTGCCAGGGAGTATGTATGACACTGGATTATAAGGATGGTTATGATGAATCCATCCTCCCGCTCTCAAAGAGCTTATAGTGCAATAGCAAACAAAGACCTCAGCATAAATTCCCAGTGGCCATGGTAAATGCCAAGGCAAATCTGTGAAGAGTTCCTTGCACATCCAGAGCCAGAACATGTGATCTAAATGGTGGCATCACAGAAAGCCTTCTTCAAGGAGCAGCCTCCTGAGTTGTCTTGCAGGATAAGTAAGAACAAAGAAAGGTGAGAGGAAGAACCTGGATATGGAGGAAACACATAAGCAGGGGGGCTAAGCCCGGAACTGGAAGCACCTCCAACACTGCTGAGTGGTGGAAGGGAAGCTGGTGTGAGAGAAGCCTGTAGGACAGGTTAAAGCCAGGTCTCAGAGGCGTGGGGACTTCTCTCTTTCTTCTCTTTACAAGTTGTGCCTCAGTTAAATGCTGCTTTCAGTATCTCCTAGGCTTCATAACCTCCTTGTTCTTTGCCTTGTATCACTTTCAACTCTAGGAGAACCCTTTCAGTCCTTACACTGCCTCTGCTGCCAGACTGCTCAAGAAGCTGAAGAAAAGGGAAAAACAAGGACAAAGGTATCTGAAATTTCAGGCTACTCTCACTCATTCCCTGTTGCTTTTTAGAACAACTAACTCTACATTTTATTCCAAGCACAGGTTTACACACAAATATAACAACAACAGCAAAACCAGAAATAAAAGACAGGTAAATTCATTTATTTTAGGAAATGTCCTAAATTTATTTGGATCTGGAAATGTGAATCAGTTTTCATTTTCATGGTTGGCTGAGAGCAAAAGAATAAACTATCACTCAAATAGGATGAATAGCTACTTTCAAATTTAATTAACATTGGTAAATGTACAAAATTAATGGCCATAAGTTTGTTGTTATGACATATTATTTTTTATTCCATCCATTACCAACCAAAGTCAGTGGGCCTATTAAATAAAACCACAAATTTCTATGTTGTAGAGAAACTATAAAAACAAAGCTACACCATAAGTGTCTGGGTAGGAAGGGATGATGTCTTCATCTTGGAGGAGATGATAGGAGAACGAAGACGCCCAGCACACTTCCAAATCTTCAGGGAGTGATTCTTGGTTCAGGGGATTAAGGATGTACTGGTATGCTCAGATGTGAAAAGTAAGCAATGAATGTATATTAAACTAATATACAAATTACATTTGGATTGTCCATACATTTGTTCTGTGTCACTGTTGCTCTTGTTATGTGCCCTCGAGTCTGACCAGACTCATAGTGACCCATCTTTGGGTTTCTGAGGCAGTATCACTACGGAAGTACATTGCCTAATCTTCCTTCTGAAGAGTGGCTGGTGGGTTTGAACTGCCAGCCTTCTGGTTAGCAGTCAAGTGCCTTAGGCACTACGCTACCAGAGCTCCTTCTCTGTCATTGTTGTTGTTGTTGTTGTTTGCCGTCGAGTCGCCCCTGACTCATAGCGACCCCTTCTTGGGTTTCCGAGGCAGTATCACTACGGAAGTAGGATTGCCCAACCTTCCTTCCGAGGAGTGGCTCTCTGTCATTAGTATGGTTAAATAAGGAAAAAAAACAAACAAACAACAAAAAAAAACTTTTCAGTATGATAAAAAAATTAAGATTTAAAATGGATTCTATACTTTCCCACTCCCCCTTCCCTGTACACATTGTATTGGGAGGATAATAGTATCCTTCTCTATCCCTATTTAATTATACAGAAGCAGAGATGTTAAAAGCACTGGCAAAGGGTATGTCACACTGACAGAGAGAAAGCTGGGCTCAGAATATCTGCTATGTTTACATGAGAAGATGGCTATTATTAACGTTCTTTCAACATACAGAATTATTGCATTTTAGTAAAAAGATCAGTGTTTCACTGGCTGTGAAATACAGTCAGGCAAGAGGTTCAAGAAGTCAGAAAGGGCACAACTATACCCTGACACTAAAGAATGTCATTTTTCTCTTCTTAGGCAAAGCTGGAAAGGCCTGGGGGCTAGGGACAGGATGGCCAAACACCATGGGCCAGGCTTTTCCTCACATCATAGGTCCTGTGTGTGTGTTGTTTTGGGAAATGGCTGCCTCCTTTCTTGTACAGCCAACTTGCACTGAGTCAAAACCAAGTCTTGGTCACTCACAAAATGAGGGATGTGAACAAAATGATCTCTAAGATCTTTTTTGTCTTCACTGAGGAGTCCCTATATTTTGAATGACTCTAATTTCTAATTTCATATATATGGGAAGTAGGCATTGACATTAAAGTGGTAGGTTTGTGACAATGGAAAACGAACCCAGAGACCATTCTGCTCCCTTGATCTGGGGCCAGGGTGTCCTGGGCATCCCATGTTACCAAAGGCCAGGTATTTTAGAGGGCTGCTCAAAATGCATCTCATCTGTGGGGCGGGAGGGTTTAAAACATCTGTAACTTCAGTTCCTTTATTATGTGTGTTAAAGGTAATTGTGGTGTTATCTGGCCTATTTTACAAACATTAAAAATACTTTAGAAAAATGTTTTCAGGACATTTAGAAATGATTAGTTCTGTAACACCAGCATGAAAGGGAAACATATTTAAATACTCCCAATACTGCTGTAAGGACTACATTTTAAGCCAAAATGATGAGTCAGCATATGGAAATGTATACACAAAATGGCAATTAACATGATCTGGGGAGCTGCCAAGTGTTTGTTTCAAAGAATCTGGAACAGAACTTCATATTTTTGTAGCACTCTAATTTCATTTATTTCCTTCTCCCAATTTCTAGTTCTTTCATTTTAAGTTGAAGTATTATTTAATATCTATGTTTCAATTTTAATTTGATTTAAAATTTCAATATTCTGCAAAGGTTATAATTCTTTGGAAACAAAACATGTAACAATAAAAATAACTGATTTTGGCAACTGCAATGAGAAAGAAGTCTTTAAAAGACGTGGGCCACTATCACATCAACAAAAACAAACAATTCAATTAAGAAATGGGCAGAGGACCTGAATTTACCAAAGAAGACATGCAGGCAGCCAACAAACTGCTCAAGATCATTAGCTTTTAGAGAGATGCAAATCAAAACAATGAGGTATTGTTGTACCCCAGCATTAATAGCAAAGCTCAAAAAATACAGAAAACAACAAACACTGGGGAGGGTATGGAGCGAATGGAACACTGTGGGTGGGACTGTAAAATGGTACAACCACTGTGGAAAGCGATAAGATGCTTCCTTAAGAAGTTGGAAATAGAAATACCATATGATTCAGCAATCTCACTACGAAGGATGTAAGCTAG